TCTCAAACTGGATTATTTCTGCAGTGTGTTTTGGACCAGAGAAGGCTAAATGTCTCACAAAAGTACAGTTCCCAGACTGGATGTTAAATTAGTATTTACAAAAAGCAGATTTTGTGGGTTCTTTTTTCTTAGAACTAAGGCTGCATCTCCACTGCAGAAATAATCCAGTTGGACACCACTTTAGCGGCCACAGCTCAGTGCTATGGAATTCTGGGATTTGTAGTTTGTAGCAAAGCTCTGGTGCCACAACAAACGACAGTGCCCAGAATTCCATAGCGTGGAGCTGTGGCAGTTAAAGCGGAGTCAAACCGGATTGTTTCTGCAGTCAGGATACAGCCTTTGACAGGTAGAGAGGCCGGGGTGACCAGAGTCCTCACCGCAAAAGAAGACCATGCACCACAAAATGGAGAGCATTCAAGAAAAAAGTAGGACATGGCCAAAGCAAAGCTAAAAACACTCATATGAATGTAAACTTATGCTTGTAAGTCATGCTCAAAATGGACAACATTTTGGGATTCCTCCTGGACACAAGGTTGAAATGTAGGACATGTCCTGGAAAAGGAGGACCTTTGGTCACCCTGGGTTTGTGTGTGTGTTTGTGGTGCTTGTTTTACAAAAAGATGGAGCCATGATGGATGGATCGATTTATATGAATATTTCTAATTTACTACCACCTTGGGGTTCATTTAAGCGAGAGATAAATGAGGTGTAGAGCATCAGAATGAGGGATATTTACCTCTGCTTTATCATGATACAAACAATCAAATCAGAAAGAAGGCACTAATTAGCACATGACAACTGTTTTTCACTGATGTGGCTGGCATCTAGTGAAATACAGTATATTAAAGTTTTGAATGCATGTATTTACGGTACATGGCACAAAGTACCATATACCCCCAAAAAGAAGGCCATAGTTTCCTCACAAATAAGTCCATTTACAGTTCAGATCAGGTTCCCATACTTTGCTTTCACTGGCAATATCACAAGGTATTCCCCCTTCTTTGTGTTTAGTGGATGTTTTGGACTGCATTGCCCATCATCTGTCATCAGTATGGCCAAGCCTGTTTTCCAACGAGTCATCAGTTGTCATTATATACCTTCAAGTATTTTCTGACTTTTGGCAACCCTAAGGGTTTACTTGGCATGATTTGTTTAGAGGGGTTTGTCCTTGCCTTCTGATGAGGCTGAGAGAGTGTGACTTGCCCAAGGTCACCAAGCTGGGATTCGAACCCTGCTCTCCAGAGTCGTAGTCCAATATTTAAACCATTACACCATCCTGGGTTTACCATCTGTTTTCAATTGATATATTGTTGAGCTTAATATTGTTACACATTAGAGTTAGAAGAAAGCATAAAGAACAGATAAATACCGTAGAATTGGGTGTCATGAGAATATAGAATCATAGAGTTGGAAGAGACTTCAAGGGCCATCCAATCCAACCCCCCGCCATGCAGGAACTCACAATCGAAGCATGGCCATCCATTCTCTGTTTAAAAACCTCCAAAGAAGGAGATTCCACCACTTTCTGAGGGAGTGTGTCCCACTGTTGAACAGCTCTTACTATCAGGAATGTCTTCGTAATGTTTAGATGGAATCTCTTTTCCTGAAGCTTTCATCCATTGCTGCATGTCCTGTTTTCTGGAGCAGCAGAAAATAAGCTTGCTCCATTCTCAATATGACACCCCTTCAAATATTTAAACATGGCTGTCATACCACCTCTTAACCATCTCTTCCCCAGGCTAAACATATCCAGCTCCCTTAGTCATTCCTTACAGGGCATGGCTTCCAGACTTGTGCCTTCAAGTCTTTTCTGACTTATGGCATTTTTCTGGGGCTAAGAGTGTGTGACTCATCCAAGGTCACCCCGTGGCCTTCCATGACAGAGTTGGGATTCGAACCCTGGTCTCCAGAGTCATCATCCAACACTGAAACCACTAAGCACACTGTTTCTCAGAGGAGGTTTGCCATTGCCATCCTCCAAGGCTGAGAGAGTGTGACTTTCCCAGGGTCATCCAGTGGGTTTCATGGCTGAGCAGGGGACCCTGTTCTCCAGAGTCAGACTGTAATTCTCAAACCACTGCACTATGTTGTCTCCTGAGCTTAGTATGCATATATTTATTTTATTTATTTTTAATTTAATTTAAGTTGTTGAAACTGATCACCATCAAAAACTGCTCACTTGCACCATGAGCAGCAGTTCATCATCTGTCACCTTGGACATTTTGAACTTAAGAACCCACCAATGCTTACCTACTGGGTGATCTTGAGTGAGTCACACTTTCTCAGCCCCAAAAAACCCTGTGATATGTTCACCTTAGGGTTGCCATAAGTGACATGAAAGCACACAGCAGCAACAAATGCTTCCTTGGTCGTTGAGCAACTTGAAGCTCTTGGGACTTTTGAGCAAAGCTGCATAGGGCTGTGCTGGAGAAAAGGCAATTGTGCTCCTGCTTTCTTGTTCATTATCCTTTTCAACTCATAACTTTCCATAAAGACTCAGAGGAACTTTCAAATAATAAAAGATGGAAAGGCTGATGAAGAAGATAAAGTTGGGTTGGTGGGCTGTCTGTGGCTTTTGAAATGAAATTCCATGATAAAATAACCCAGAGAAGATTCAGTGCTGCTTCCCCTGTAGCATTTTTTGTTTGCAAATGTTATTTCTTTGATAAGATGGTAAATCCTTATGGCCCTTTACATTCACATGTCTGTATTTGAGCTGTAGCAGATATTACAAGTTTCACAAATTTATAATAGTAGTGGCAGGAGTGGATTCTTTTTGCAGAAGCTTAGGGCCTTTGCAGACTGCCAGAAATAGTGCAAATTGAGTCCACTTTAAGGGTTAGGGTTAGTGCTAGGGAATCATGGGAATTGTTGTTTTTTCTGAGACATTGAGCCTTCTCTATCAGAGAGCTTGGTGCCATAATAAAATACAGTTCTCATGATTCCCTAACCCTAACCCTTAAAGTGGACTCAATTTGCACTATTTCTAGCAGTCTGCAGAGGCCCTAAAGTTTTCTTGAAGGATAGTGTACTTATGAGGCTTTCCATTTCTTTGGATCAAATTTGCAAATAAGAAACTAAAAAGAAATTTGCAAAAAAGAAACTAGCTTCAGGTGGGCTGTTATATTTTTTTCCACATCTAAATAACCCATATTTCTTATTTTGGTCACTGAGAAATAATAGTATTTCATTATTAAACACAGATCTAGACAAAAGGTTTTAAGAAATAGTTTTGGCTTCAATGTATGCTTATTAGTATTTAAAAACAATTTTTTTTCTCTTTTCCTCTTTGCTTGCAGCTGGATAAAATTCCTTTCATATATATATATATATATTGCCAAAACAGAACACCTGTCTTTTAAATTATTTTGTCTTGAGCCTACTTTTGCTTATTCCTTTTTATGAAAAGATGTGTTGTGCTGTTCCAGAATATACTGTGTGTTTGGGCTAGTTCATCCAAACACTGAAAATGCAGCATAACATTATATTGTAGAATTTAGAAGTTGCTCACATAAATGTACAGTAACAATTATATTCTCAATGAGGAAATGCTCATTTTATTGTTTAAAAAATAAATCTTAATTTTGGGATTTTTCTAGTGTTACATAGAACTGAACGGGGAAGATATACTCTATGTTAAAGCACACTAGTATGCACAATGACTATATCTGCTTAAAGGCTTGGATAAACCTCTGCCTAGTAATTCTTTGGTGGGCTGTACTCTTTGTTGCAGGAATCCCAAGAGGTTAGAGGGCATAGGTTCTGTATAATGATATATTCTCTTCTGAATAAACAAGTGTCAATTAATTAACATTAATAGGAATTATGGCTGTTCGAGAAGCTATCTGAACTGCATTATTTCTACAGAATCTCTTGTAAACATTTTTGCACTGTAGAATAGATAACAAATGTGTAATTTGTTACTCTGTATTAATGGATACAAAGATTTCCCAAATTATTTGCTTGTGTTCAGTTGGTATACATGGTTTCTAATTGTTATAAACACATTTCTTTTATTTCTATTATCAGTTTGGTCTGTAGATGGTTATGGGTGATTGTATGGGTGTATTTTTTAACTGTAAGCCGCCTTGACAGCCTTGGCTAAAGGCGGAGTATAAATAAAATTATTATTATTATTATTATTATTATTATTATTATTATTATTATTATTATTATTTCTTCAGATGTATTACTAGTTAATATTTTACATTCATCTCTTATACAGCTCTTTATAGGACCTAGTCCTTACAAGATGGCTGATGAGCATAAAGCATACTGAAATAAAACCAAATTGTAATCAACAAAAAAGAAACTTTTTCAGTAACTCATTAATTTATCCTCTAGAACAGTGGTTCTTAACCTTTTCTTTACCAGGAACCACCTTTAAATATATTTTGTTGTCTCAGACCCCCAAGACTTAACTCATGTTTTAAAGCCCTGAAGTGCATCAAATGTTTAGGTAAAGTTGGTCATCAAGGATCTTCAGATTTGGAGAGAAGGGAGAAATAAGTAAATGTGCACATTCCTATTACACTATTTTTATTGGAATAACTCCATACAGATTTAAAATAATACATGAACACTGAACCATGGCCTAATATTACTTGTTAATTTAAATAATTAATTGAGAAGGCTGGTCCTGTATTTCACTTATAAGCCTTGTTTTATCGGGCTTAATAGCAGAAACTTCTATTCTGAGTTCTGACTGTATTTTTCAAATGGTTTCTGTACTTTTAAAAATGTAAGCGAGATTAGAGAGTGATTCTTCATGTAAGTGTCTTGTTGCGAAAAGAATAAATACTTTCATAGCCCTCTTCCATAATTCTAGAAAATCACTTATTAGTGAGCCCAAAAATTTGGAGGGGATTGTTCCTTGAACTTAGTTTCAGAACACCATTCATGGATATTTCTATGAGCTTGTCTTCCTCTGCTGTTGTGAACCCCTGTAGTTCATAACCATTAACTGAAAATGGATCTGTATTTGTTTGCATCAGGAACTGGAAAATATTCACAGAAACTATGCAAATCTTTCAAATGCCATACAATAAGTGATGTGTTCTCCTCAGACAGCTCTTCATTGGTGGAACCAAGAAAATTTGTGAGGTTTGGAAATGTCTCCTAGATTAGATTCAATAGGTGACGTGACACAATTCCAACTGTTTCATTATCGCTTCAACCTTGTCTTCAAGTTAAAAAAACCTGTAACAACTTCTCCTGGAAGATTTAAGTTGAGCCTATTTAAATCATAGAATCATAGAGTTGGAAGAGACCACAAAGGCCATCCAGTCCAACCCCCTGCCATGCAGGAAATCAATCAAAGGGAGTGTGTTCCACTGTCGAACAGCTCTCACTGTCAGGAAGTTCCTCCTAATGTTGAGGTGAATAATAATAATAATTTTTATTTATAGCCCGCCCCTCTGCGGAGCAATCGAGGTGGGTTACAGCATTATAAAATATACAGCTTAAAAACATTCCTATTCCATATCCAACCCTCCCACCCCTTAAAACAGAATTAAACTAATTAAGAATTAAAACATCGTGCTCCGTGATAAAATGCAATAAAACAATAACACAGTAATAGAGCGGGCACGGGAAAGGGTCAGTAGAGCCATCTCCTCAAGCCGGAGAGTTATTCTGGGAAGTTTTGCCAGAAGAGATCCGTCTTCACTGAGCCGCCCCAATTGCTATACAGAGGGGCGGGATATAAATAAAATTTATTATTATTATCACTGCTTTCTTAAAAGCAGCAAGAGTAGTAATATGACGGATCTCCTCCGGCAGGCCATTCCAAAGTCTGGGAGCAGTCGCAGAGAAAGCCCTCTGGGAGGTCTGAGACAGCCTAGTTTTTATTGGCTGTAACAGATTCCTCAGATAGGTGAATACGTGAATAGGTGAAAAAGGTGAAGATATCTGACAGATATGCTAATTTTGTTGTTGTTGTGTGCCCTCAGATCATTTCCAACTTATGGCAACCCTAAGGCGAATCTATCATGGGGTTTTCTGGGGCTGAGTGTATATGACTCACCCAACGTCACCCAGTAGGTTTCTGTGGCCAAGCAGGGAATCAAACCTAATCTCCAACACTCAAACTACTACACCACACTGGCTCACTTTACTGTGGCTCCTGTTAAGAGGCCACTCCAGTGGGTTGAAGGTGAACTGAGCAGCCATCACACCGTCATGTGCCCCCTCTGGGGATATCACAACCCCAGGTTTCCACAGACCATAAGTTAAGAACCACCATTCTAGAACCTTTGAAACTAACTGAGAAAAATGCATTTCTAGTGTAAACTTTAATGGACTCTCAAAGGTACTACAGGTACAGGATTATTTTATATCTTTGTAGGCTGAAACATACTAACATGTGCATTGGCAGGGTTGAAGCCATACATGATTCAGTTCTGGGGGGGGACACAACCTGGGACAAACTAACGAAAAGACCCTGTTACTTGTGTTGGGCAATCAAATATTCTTGAAGAGGCTTATGAGCAGAGCTGTTAAATAAGAGCTTAATGCCCAAGAGTATTTGGTTATTTGTCAGATAACCAGATCTCAAACCAGTGGTATCACTACAGGAGTTCAGGGGATGCAGACTACTCTGGATGATACTTGGTGTGTGTGCGTGTGTGTGTGTGTGTACACACCTGGTGGGGCTAGTGCTGCTGGGTGAGTGAGAAAGGATATCATGTCCTTTCTCCCTCACCCAGCACTTGTGGAAGACCCCAAATGGCCATACAGATACTGTAACACTGGTCGCCACCTAAGCAGCAGGCAGTGCTGAGCCTTATGTTTGGGGTCCAGCTGTCTGGAGGCTGCAGCAGGAGGAAGTGCCTTTTGTTTGGGGTCTGGCACAGCTGTTCTGAGCATCTGCGCTGGACTCCGAAAGGCCATCCAGAGGCTGCAGCACCACCCCAGCAGCAGACTTGCCAGGGAGGGCAGGCAAGCAAG